TGAAGAGAACACAACAAAATTGAAAGACATCTCATGTTCAAATTGGAATAATTGAAATTGTGAAAATGGTCACGCTATCCAAAGAAATCTACAGATTCTATGCAATCTCTATCAAAATACCAATGACATTCTTCACAGAAATAGAAAAACAATCCTAAAATTTGTATGAAACAACAAAAGACCCTGAATAGCCAAAGCAATCTTGAGCAAAAGGAACAAAGCCAGAGGCATTATACTGTTGAACTGTAAAGTATACTACAAAGCGATAGTAACAAAAATAGCTCGGTTCTGACATAAAAACAGACCATAGGCTAATGGAATAGAATGGAGAACCCAGATATAAATCCACACATTTACAGTCAACTGATTTTCAACAAAGGCACCAAGAATAATCACTGGGGATGGGATAGTCTATTTGATAAAAGGTGTGAGAAAACTGGATGTCCATATGCAGAAAAATGAAACTAGAGCCCTATCTCTCATCAAATGCAAAAAATCAACTAAAATAAATTAAAGATTTAAATGTAAGGTTTGGAACTGTGAAACTACTAGAAAAAAAAAACAGGCAAAATGTTTCAGAACACTGGTCTGAGCAAAGATTTTATGGAGAAGACCTCAAAGCGCAGGCAACAAAGGAAAATTAGACAAATGGTATTGTATCGAACAGAAAAGCTTCTGTACAGCAAAGCAAACCATCAACAAAGTGAAGAGACAATCTACAGAATAGTAGAAAATATTTTCAAGTTATTCATCTGACAAAGGATTATTATACAGAATATACAAAGAACTCAAACAACTCAACAGTAAAAATGAAAATAATTCAATTTAAAAATGGGTGGCCGGACACAGTGACTCATGCCTACAATCCCAGCACTTTGGGAGGCCAAGGCAGGCAGATCACCTGCGGTTAGGAGTTCAAGACCAGCCTTACCAACAAGGAGAAACCTCATCTCTACTAAAAATACAAAATTACTGGTGGCACATGCCTGTAATCCTAGCTACTGGGGAGGCTGAGGCAGGAGAATTGCTCGAACCTGGGAGGTGGAAGTTGCGGTGAGCCGAGATTGCACCATTGCACTCCAGCCTGGCCAACAAGAGCAAAACTCCTTCTGAAAAAAAAAAAAAAAAAAAAGATCTGAATTGTCATTTTCAAAAGAAGAGATACAAATCGCCAACAGATATATGAAAAAAATACACAACATTACTAATCATCAGGGAATCAGGGAAATGCAAATCAAAACCACAAGACATATTATCTCACCCCAGTTAGAACGGCTATTTTCAAAAAGACAAAAAATAAGAAATGCTGGCAAGGATGTGGAGAAAGGGAAACTCTTACATATGGTTGGTGGGAATGTAAACTAGTACAGCCATTATGAAAACCAATATGGAAGTTCCTCACAAAATAAAAAATTTAACTACCACATCACCCAGTGATCCCACTCCTGTGTATATATTCAAAGGAAAGGAAATCAGTATGTTGAAGACATATCTACACTCCCATATTTACTGCAGTATTATTCACAATAGCCAAGATAAGAAATGAACCTAAGTGTCCATCAACAGAGGACTGGATAAAAAAATTTGGTATATATACAAAATATAATACTATTTAGATATGAAAAAGAATGAAATTCTGTCATTCATGACAACATGGATGAATTTGTAGGACGTTATGTTAAATAGAGTAAGCCAGGCACAGAAAGATAAATAGCAATATGTGGTAGCTAAAAAAGGACCTCATTGAACTAGAGAGTGGAGTAGTGGTTGCTATTCTATATAGAGGAAGGGTAGGGTGGATGAGAGAACAGCCAAATGTTGATTAATAGATACAAAAGTACAGTTAGATAGGAGGAATAAGGTCTAGAGTTCTACAGCATTATAGGGTGACTATAGCTAAGAACGATTAGGCTGGGTGTGGTGACTCACGCCTGTAATCCCAGCACTTTGGGAGGACAAGGCGGGTGGATCACCTGAGGTCAGGAGTACAAGACCAGCTTGACCAACATGGAGAAACCCCACCTCTACTAAAAATACAAAAATCAGCTGGGTGTGGTGGCGCACGCCTGGCATGTCTGTAATCCCAGCTACTTGGGAGGCTGAGGAAGTAGAATCACTTGAACCCGGGAGGTGGAAGTTGCAGTGAACCGAGATCACGCCACTGCACTCCAGCCTATGTGACAGGAGTGAGACTCCATTTCCAAAAAAAAAAAAGAACAATTTATTGCATATTTTCAAATAGCTAGTAGAGTGGACTTTGAATGTTTCCAACCCAAATCAACGATAAATGTTTGAGGTGATGTATATGCTATTTATCCTGATTTGATCATTATACATTGTATACATGTATCTAAATGTCACACTGTACCTCACAAATATGTGTAATTATTATGTGTCAATTAAAAGTAATAATAAAAGCAAAAAAAAAAAAAGGTAAAAATGATACGCCTGTATAAGGCACTTGCCACTTAATCAGTGAGTAAATGGTGAGTGAACGTGAAGGTCTAGGATGTTACTGTACACTACTATAGACATTATAAACACTGTACATTTAGTATAACTAAATTTATGTAATAAATTATTCTTTCTTCAATAATTAAGTAATCTTAGCTTAGTGTAACTTTTAAATTTTATAAACTTTTAAATTTTTAAAAACTCTTTGACTCTTTTGTAATAGCACTTCCCTTAAAACACAAACACAAACTGGGTGCAGTGGTGTGGGGCAATGCCAGCTACTCAGGAGGCTGAGGTGGGAGGATCATTTGAGCCCAGGAGTTCAAGACCAGCCTGGGCAAACATCAGGAGGCCAAAAGAAAAAACAAAAACAAAACAACCTCCGCCCACAAACACATCGTACAACTGTTCAAAAATATTTTATTTCTTTATATTCTTATTCTATAAACTTTTTTCTACTAAATTTTTTTTTTGATTTTTTACTTTCTAGACTTTTTTGTTAAAAGTGAAGACACAAGCACACACATTAGCTTAGGTCTACACAGGGTCAGGGTCATCAATGTTACTGTTCTTTGCCTCCACATCTTCTGCTACTGAAAGGTCTTCAGGGGCGTTAACACTCATGAAGCTGTCACCTCCTATGATAACATTGCCTTCTTCCGCAATACTTCCTGATGGACCTCCCTGAGGCTGTTGTACATTAACTTTTTTTTTTTTTTGGTAAGTAAAAGGAGTACACTCTGAAATGATAAAAAGTATAGTAAATACGTAAAACAGTAATATAATGTTTATTATCATTATCAAATGTTATGTACTGTACATAATTGTATGTGGCAGACTTTTCTAGGACTGGCAGCACAGTAGATTTATTTATACCAGCATCACCACAAACACATGAGGAATGCAGGGTTGTGCTACAAAATCGTGACAGCTATTAATACAATGTTACTAGGTGATAGGAATTTTTTCAGCTCCATTATACCCTTATGGGACCATCCGAGTATATGTGGTTTGTTGTTGATTGATAGTTATGTGGCACACCACTGTATAAAATCTTTAATTAACAGATTAAATATCAAAATCTAGTGACAGATTTACTTAGTATCATAATTTTATAGTAACATTGAACAAAAATGATATTTCAAGATATTTACAACACCATAAAGTTAATTGAAAATATCTGTGAATTCTATTGGTGACAGTCATGGGTACAACTAATACTGCAATGATTTATCACCTCCATTCATAAATAAAGGAAATACTAGATTTTCACTTACAGATTAGTGAAAATTCGGTTTTTTTTTTTTTTTCTCCATCTGAGTTCATGGCTTTGAGGAATCTATTTCTGTTCCGTGAGATCTTGCACACTTTTCACATTTTACTTTTTAATTTGCCTCATCTACCACCATTTTCTCTTATTTTGTAGGAACTCCCCAGCAACAGGCTTTAGAAGGAGGTTGAGGGAAGTGAGGAATATGGATGAGTGCAGACCCCAACTCCTGGACTGATGCTTGGCATTCTGCCCTCCATGCTTCTTTTCTTTCCCACACTTAATGCTCTGCATTCCCGGGCCCAGTCTGCTGGTGTAAGTAACTCCCCAGCCATAAAAATCAGTCCTAGTCACAGAGGGCTTGGACCTTGTCTTGGTTTCCCTCTGTGTTTTGTTGATTTGTCTACATAACCTACCCATAGCTAGCTGTTCTCTCCTCCTTATGATCCTGAAACTTGTCATGTTGGAAAAGTGTTGTGCTGTAGACATCCTGAATCATCCTGAATCTGGGCAAGGCCTTTGAATGTGTAAGAATTGAAATTGTTTTCCAGTTTCAACTTCCATAGATCCTAGAAGGTAAAATACAACCATGCATTTAAATACTACTGGTAAGACAGAATATCGAAGACTTTGCTATGGAGGAGTACTCAAGGATATTGGTAATATATTGTTGGTATTGTGAAGCTAAACAATAAAAGTAATTGTTTTATTAAGATGGGAGCAACTATTTAGCCTCTGCAACATTCTGTCTTCCTTTCCAATGCCTGGAGGAAGGCAGTACAGTGGAACTCTCAGTGGTGAGAAAAAGATGTTTTCTGCCTTTGATGACACTGCTGTTTTCATAGTGCATTTCTTGCTGTGGGACTCTTGCTGATTCTCTGCCCTAGAGGTTGAGGGCAGAGATGTTCCAGTTCTCTTGACGAGGTCCCAGGAGACTGGGAGTGTACTGGATTCTGGCCAGGGCCATTTATTCTTGAAGAAATTAGAAACCAGTGGTGTATTGCTCTGCTTATTCAGAAGGAGTAAGAAATAAACTAGCATGTGACAGGGCAAGGGAGTTAATCTCAATCTAGACAAGCTTTTATGTTTCTAGGCCTGTGTAGGTGATAAAAATGAAGGCAGGAGAGGAGAAATGATTGGTAATACACGCACACACACAGACACACACACACACACACACACACACACACACACACACACAGAGAGAGAGAGAGACTGATAAGGCACGTTTCTATTCAGCAAAGGTTGTTGTTTTCTTTTTTTGAAATGATTAAACAGAATTTATTGGCTGTCTTTGAGTGTCTCTGGTCCAGTGTTGGCAGGGCTGTCTGGGTTCCTCTGCTTTGCTTGTTTTTGGGCTGCTGCTGCTGCAGTCTTTAAGGCTCTTTTTTGCTTCTTCAGCTTTTGAGTCTTCTGAAAAACCCGAATGCACAGAGCCTTCTTGGTCACGAATCGGCGGTGGGCTCTTCAGTAATACAGAGGGGGGAAGGTGTACTCAATCCCCAGCTCCCTGCAGATCTTCTCAAAGACATCATAGTTGGTGTTACGGAGGTTTTTGAGCATCTTTTTCCTCTGGTCAATGCTCATCAGCAGATAGCGTTTGTGGGCTTTGTCCTTTCGATGTTTCTGCATGTGTTCTTCATAACTGCGGATCTTGACGGACAAGACAATTCGAGCCTCCAGGGATCTGGTGTCCTCCGGGTTTGCATCAATCTTCTTCATCAACTGTTCTTGCTTCATTTTTAGCATCTCCTTCTTGTTGGCCATTTCCAAAGACAAGAGTCTTTTCACGACATCATCAACCTTCTCAATTCCAGGGACATTCTGGTAGTCTTTGAACAGTGTAGAAGGAGGTGGGTTATCATCCTGCCCAGGCTGGGCTGGTTTCTGGATGACATATCCGCGCGCGGCCTGGAGGAGGAGACTTCGAGGCTGCAGGCCCCGCTGGTTGAAAGGACACCTGGCGCTCCCACCGTCCGGCAGCCCGAGAACTGGGGCCTGGGTCCGAATCAAACTCAGCGCCCTCCACGCGACCCTGAGCATGATGACCTCTAACCCCCGCGATACCGCCGCCGTTCCCTTTGCGGCGCAGGTCGGGTTACATGGGCGCCGCCATGCGGGCCCAGGCTCGATCAAGGTTGTTGTTTTCATGTGGAGTTAGAATTCTTTCCCTTGATTTCCTCTCAGTTCTTATTTTTTTGATTAAGAAAATTAAAAATAAAGCATCAGAAAAGTACAGCTAATTATATAATAAAGATCCACACACACCACCCAGCTGGATAACCACTACTGAGGAGAGAAGGTCCCATCGGGAAGCTCTGATAAGCCCGTGAAGATGTCTAGAAAGAAAGGGTCCCTATTAACCATCTTCCTCATCCAGAGAATATGAAGCCATCAAATGAGGTAAGAACTAGTCTATTCCCTTCATCTTTCTCCCTGCCAAACTCCTCCCATTTTGGGGGAGAACAAAACATCAGGTATTGAGTAGAAGAGAGAGGTGAGAGGGGTGGAGGGTAGAGAGCAGAAGGCCGGATCTTCCCATCCTACTGCAGGTTTCCAGGCTCAGCTGGTAGAGGGGAGATTTACTACTAAGTGAAGTTGTAAGTTTCAATGATTTCAGGGGATTGTGCATTCTTTTTTATTTTATTTTTTTGAGATGGAATCCTGCTCTTGTCGCCCAGGCTGGAGTGCAATGGCGTGATATCGGCTCACTGCAACCTCTGCCTCCCGGGTTCAAGCAATTCTCCTGCCTCAGCCTCCTGAATAGCTGGGATTGTAGACGTGCACAACCACGCCAGACTAATTTTTGTATTTTTAGTAGAGACAGGGTTTCACCCTGTTGGCCATGCTGGTCTCGAACTCCTGACCTCATGATCCGCTCGCCTCGGCCTCCCAAAGTGCTGGGTTTACAGGCATGAGCCACCGTGCCCGGCCTGGGATTATGCATTCTAATCACTAAACTGAGACTGTGTTTGTGGCTTAAAATGGCTGTGAGGCTTTTCCATTATTTAAGAGTGAATAGGAAAGCCTTGGGACTCCCAGTTTTCATTCAGGGGCAGGGAAGGTGACTTTCACTGAATAAATGTTTAAAGAAAACTGTGGGAGAAAAAGTCAAGTTGAGTTTTGGTTGCCAGGAGTTATGCTTGTTTCAGATATCGCCTAGAAAGCACTTAACCAAATCCAAGATGCCACCGATACTAAGGCAAACTATAATTTTAAATGCCCCTAAGAAAGAAAAATATTGCTATTATGATTACATAAACATGAATGCAAAAATCCATGATGAATAAAATATCAAAATTTTAAAGGTTCGGTATTACTGATTTTTCCTTTTGCCTCAGTCTTCAAAATGTCTCAGCATGGTATTGTAACTGTTCTTTATTTAAATTTTTGATATGTAATTCATTGTGTTTTTTTGCATTAATTTAAAAATATTGCATTAAAACATTACATATCTTCATTTTTGAGTTTTTGGGTGCTCCAATAAATTTTGCACTTGAAGCAAGTGTCTTCCTCACCTCACCCACCTCATCCACTGCACCCTAGCTCCTCTGTGAGATATACATGTGGATAGAAACAAAAAGAAGAAAAGAGGAAGAAAGAAATATAAAATCCTTTTGCTTATTTTCTTGCCTGTGTAATTGCAGATGGGAGAAATATTTGCATACATTTCTCAAACAGGAATTTCTTTAAAGCACCAGCTGGAAAATATCAGAGATGGTCTAATTGATAGCCCTAGATAACACTGAAGAGGGAGGTCTAATCTTTTCTTTGAAAAGACTCCAACATACTGCCTGGGATGACAAAAGTCCACAATAAACAGCTAAATTGGTGCTTTCGATGGTGTTGATATTAAAGCATGAACCAAAAATCTTATTGTTTTGATTTCCTCATCCCTGCCATTGAAAGAAATTCCCTCTAGTACCAATGAAAGTATAGAGGGAGATTTATGATACTTCTGTGTAATATAATACTTGGTACATAGCTCTATACCATTGTCATCATCTCTTTATTCTCATAATATTTCTCACTTGATTCTTAAAACTACCACAGAGGGCAGAGAGGGAAGGTGTTGCCCCATTTTATGGACAAGGCTTCAGCCTCATTTTTCAGACAAGGCTGATCCAAGTCACATGACAAACTGCTACAGAATGGGAACAAGAACTCTGATCTTTCAACCTCAAGGGCAGTCCTTTTCCTGTACACAGTGCTGTGTGCCTCTGAAGACATGTGGAGAGACACTGTAAGTGGCTGCATATGAGGGATTGCAGCTATAATCTGAGCTGGTTAGCAGCTGATCTCCCTGAGGCTATATGCAGTCTCCTAGTGCTGTTTCATATTAAACATGTTTGGGTGTTAGTCACTTGGCTGGCACATACCAGCAAAGTGATTGCTTTAGCCCTGCTTGAAAATTCTAGGTCCTCCCTTTGCCTGGGGGTAGCAAACTCAATGCAAACCTCAGCTATAATCTTGCAGACATTCTGGGGCTGACTTTGTTTCACTTATACATATTATATTTTCAGTAAAAGATCAATGGATGAATTAAGTATTATTACTCTTTACCTCAATGTGCCATCAAAGCTGTTCCTGTGAATGCCACCCCTTCCAAGGAGAGACTGGCGGATCAACAGGGTTTAGTCTCACAAATCAGTGGGATCCGGGTATAAGTATTTGGCTGCATTTAAACCTGCAGGTGGAGAGGCAGGTTCCCTGTAGCCATCCCCTATCAGGGAGGGGACTAATTCTTCTCAAGCCTTGTGCCTGGGTGCCCAAGTCACTGGCAACAGGTGTTGTGGAGGGATGGAAAGCCTTGTTCTTGCATGTCAGGCAGGTGAATGGAGTCTGCTTCATACCTTGATGCTGCCAGCCCTATTTCCTGAGTTGGACCCATGCTTCCATTTCTCTCATGCCTCAGTGAACCTCTTCTACTCAGTGTCCCCTCACTGTGTTTTCTCCAGTTCTTTGAGTGAGCCCTTCTTATGGCTCCTTAGTCCCTGGCCTGTAAATGAGATAAGTCTGTTGCACTTGACTTAGATTTTTGTCTTTTATTGTTGATGCTTTTCCCCAATCTCTGGTTTTTTTTCCCCCTACATTCCTATTCCTTATTACAATTCCTAGCAACCATTTTCCTAACCATTTGCCAGATGCGAACTTTGACAGTTGTCTTCTTATAAGATTCTGGAACTCAACTCTAAAGAGCCATGGCTTATAGTGGAAAAGGAAGAGGACAATGGTGACTGCCACCTGAAGAGTAAGGCCTACTTGTCTAGGTCAAAGCTTCCTGCACAGAGTTGATTTGAAGGTTAGTATTCTTTTTGTTGTTGTTAATAAAGTAGAATAATGTCTATTTACTTCTTAAAATTTTTATTATGCATGCTGTATTCATGGAAAATCAAGATCTTTTCAGGAACTCAAATTAGATCTAAATTAAGTTCAGCTCTGAACTGGTTACAAGTCATGTTTAGCATGGAAACAATTAAGCTGAGACTTTCTTTTCCTTATAGGTTGCCATCATTTTCTTGATTTCCACAGTAGCCTTCCCTGGATTCAGACCCATGGGACAAGTCCTTGTGCAGATCATGATGGTGTGGTAGTGGTACAGAGAGAACGGGTCCTGCAGCTTGCCCAGGCTCTCTTCTGTGAAGTCTTCCTGGAGTCAGTCATCCAGTGATAGGCCTGTATAAGAACTGCAGGCCCCAGATATCTGTCTCTGTTCCACTAGTAGCTGGGGCAGATGTTGCTGCAGCAGGTACAGAGAGGAGGCTGAGGTGGGAGAATCACTTGAGCTTGGGAGGTCAAGGCTGCAGTGAGCAGTGATTGAGCCACTGCACTCCAGCCTGGGTGACAGAATGAGATCCTGTCTCAAAAAAAGTTGTTTCTGAATAGGATTCTCCAAAAAAAGTTGTTTCTGAATAGGATTCTTTAAGTTCCACTGTTCCAATACTGCTCAAAATCCAACCGGGAAATGATGTATATCTTTGGCTCTATCTAAATCCAAGCAAAGTTTATCTATAGGCACCTGATGTGGTTTTGTTCTGACGTATTAGTCATTAAGTATTAGCCAGACCCTGGTAGAAAACCTTAAGCTTGTCATTAGTGTTTCCGTTACATAGAACAGTGTTCATTGTTTTTAGTGTTTCATTTATAGATGAACTTACTTATTCTCAGCTGTTTCTATATCTGAATGGATCGATAAAAGATAGTGGTAAAATACTGGTTTGATGGATAGCACATAGGGTCTCAGTAGGTGAGACAGTTGAAGGCAGATGAGAGATAGAATAAAGTCACATAGAGGGATCCATGGATTAGCACTCTAAATAAGGTCAAAGAGTAATTGTTTTTGTTTGTTTTCTTTAAAAGAGAGAACTGGAAAATGGACTGGTAACGGTTTTTGGTGTGACATCAGAGTTTAAGTTGGCAGAGTTGAACTAGTTCTGGGTAATGATCACATTTAATATAAAGCTATAGGAGAGGAAGTGGCTAATGGCTACCAGAAATCTTGGCAGGATTTGAGGAAGAGAGCTTGATGGAGGTCTAGTGAATGTGGAGTGAATGATGAAGAGAAGAATAGATACCAATGGCCACAAAACAGGGTAAAGGGTTTTCCCAGCCAATGAAGAATAAAAGTTTGAATATGGTAATATAGAGCCAGAAGAGTAAATATGTCAGTTCCCTTAAAGAGTACTAGGATGTGTGAAGAATCAACATCCTCACTTCAGGGGATTGCAGGAAAGGCAATGTGCTTCTGCAAGGGTCATGTTTCAGTTAAGGCAGGAGGAGAAAGGAGACCAAAGGGGAAAGATTTTTGTTGTAAGAAAAGACGTTTACCAACGGATGAGGGCTCCAGAAGGCCAGCAGCAGGGGTTGAGTCAAGGAGAGGAAGAAGAAGGAGGATGAGCTAAGGGGAGGTTGGAGGTGATGGTAACAGGAAAAGATAGGCCATTGGAATGGCTAGCATTTAGGCTGGAGGCAAAGCATGTCAGAGTGGAGAGAGAGGCAAAACATGGGTCCCAGGCATAAGAGGTGTGTAAGCTCATGCAGAGAGGGTGTCAGTAGTGTTTGAAGCTAGGTGCTGCCCACCCTTATGGGCTGGGCAG